ATATATATACATACACACACACACACACAAATTTATATACATATATATATTATGTATGTATGTGTATATCGACATACATGCATACACACAATTATACACACACACACACACACACACACACACACATATATATATATATATATATATATATATATATATATATATATACATATATATATATTTGCCAGTAATCTTTCAGTAACTGAGACTACCTAACAAAGACCTTAAACTCTCCAAGCAGAGCATACTGAAAAATTCCAACGCTATGACGTCATATCCGTCAACAGGAAGTACTTACCTGAGCGCAAGTGGAGACTTCATTAGAACGCACTCTTGCTTTCACGATCTTTCTTCGTAAAACCAGTGCTGTGTGATAATCCTTCCTAAGATTTCCTGCTTAATAGGCGGTCCATCAGTATTTCTGTTTTCTATTTGTTACTTTTTATTTCAAGGGAAATAATCTTTACTATCATTTTTTTTTTTTTAGATTTATTTGTAGTTCTGTTACGTGCGTTCATTTTTGCCATCTTTTTTTCAAACTATATTGTATCTTGTCTTACATAATGATGTTTTTCTAATGACCTCATGCCATGGCTTACAGTCTGACATTTCAGTGTGTCACTAAGTTTACGTTACATACATTGACATCACATGTATTTTTATCACATACAGTCATAGCATCTTACGTTTATATTACCACATATGTTTTTCACTTATGTTACATATACTTATATTGCACTTATTTGTATTTCATTTATGTTACATACAGTCATATTACATTTATTTATGTTACATACAGCCATGTTGCATTTATTTGTATTACATATATTTTACATAAATTTGACTTTACATAAATTTCACATTCTCAGTATCTATATCATGAAATCCATATCACATACATTTGTATTATACATATTCACATCACATACACGAAAAATACCAACATTTGTAATACATACATTTTATATTACATGTACTGTCTCTTTAATATATCACTACTACATATTTCACTCTTAGAAACAGGTTCTTTCACACATACACAAACTCTCCCATATGTAGGCCTATAATCCAATACAGACTAAAATTATTGCATGTGTCAGATAGACAGGGAACTCAGATTTTCGGGGGGGGGGGGGGGGTATTTTGACCCTATACAAAAAAAACAAAAATCCCGTACGGATTTTTTAAAAATCTGAATCTTAGAAATATCTTAAAAAAAAAAAAAAAAACGATACACACGAGAGAAAAATTAGTCAGTATATTAGATATTCTTTATGTCCAGATCAACTAGATTGATGGCATTTAGATTATCGAATTGATGAGTCAATGAAAATCTTAGATTTTGCGGAAGGACATTAAATGATCCAGATATACTAAAAAAAAAAGAAAGAAATCTAGAAACGAGGGGAAAATATATCCTTAAACTCAGGAACAAGAAAAATATACCCAAAAAGAAATCAGACGACGGACGAAAAAAACATACCCAGAGATCATAACCAATGACATGGAATTTTTTCGGAGACAAAAAAAAAAAAAAAAAAAAAAAAAAAAAAAAAAAAAAAAAAAAAAAAAAAAAAAAAAAAACGTAAACTAGGAAAGATACTCCAAAAAAATCCGGTAACAGGGAAAAATATATTCATAAATCCTCAAAAAATAACCTCATAAAACAATAATCATATTTTGTTTTGTTTATTTGTTTATACACATAAACCGTATGTATGTGCATGTACTACGCGTGGATACACATACATACATATAACTGGTATCATCCTTTACTTTTAATAAACAGCAATCACAAAGTAAATATCAACAAGGCATCACCATTACTAATATAACTGCGTCGAAAATTATTCAAATTCAAACCTTTATCACGTTAGTTTCCCCGATGACAGTATCATTTACGCCTGACAAAATGGCTAATCTAATCTAAACCAACAATCTATGCAAAGCAAACAATATAGATTTATTATTGGACTGCAACGCCATCTACCCTCATATTGAAATTAATAATGAATATCTGACCCGAAAACAGCAATCTCAGATAATGGATTAATAGTTACAAACCAAAATAAATTTGCTAGACACCAAAGATCATATAGTACAATAAAACATTGAAGTAATTAAAAGAATAAGGGGGGGGGGGAGAGTGGTAGTTGATTACATGTGCTACACTTAAAAAATCGTACAGCAGATGAATAACTTTCGTTCGCTACGAAACTATGAAGGCTGGCAAATCACATCGTCATCTCTCCGATATGGGTATAATCAATCTGGGTTAAGACAAGTCAAATTAGGTTAGGACAGGTTAGCTACGAGGCAGTAGTGAGTATACCCAAGGCCTATATAGGTATTTATATAGACTCTAAGTATACCGTAGCACTAGAACTAGAACTAGTCACATAAAATGCACAACTCGTATAAGATAACAGTGATAAATGATATGTTGTATGCTGATCTTTATTTCTCATATTTATGCAGGGTTTCACAACCATTGATTTTCCATTTTACATGAAATGGATTTATAAGATTGATAGGTTCTATTCTGTTTTGCAAGATCTACCTTTATTTCTGTTCTACTTACCGTAAGCTTACATGCTCGTTTCTTGAGTGACGAAAGGATACCGGACTGGGCTTTCATCCGTAATGCATTCCAGAATAAATTTTCTTCTCTTCTTTCATTATTTTCCAAACTGTTGTTCCTCAAATACAGTGAAAGACTATTTATTTGCCATCTGTATCGATGTTTTTTTTCATGAAATGTAAAAAACATTAAGCTTTAATACTTTAATACTGGACTTGACTCGACATAATGAAACAAAAATTGATGGTCTTATCGGCTTATTGGCTCACTGATAAACTTCTTGAAAGGGTTTACAAATGAAAAGGGAGATAGCGACCTAGCTGTTGTTAAGTATCAAAATCACATGGTCAGGAAGCGTACATTCTGTGTTTGGTTGTTGCCAACCTTTTTCATTCTGTGGCCCCCGACCAATACATCATAATTTCCATGGCCCCGTTCAATGGCTGTCCTCTTTTCAGGTTCAGTTATTACCAGTTATGGATAGCGTAATGGTATCAGTAGCAATAGGACAAACATACTGCATGAAAATATTCAAATTTATTTATACGTGAGAGAAATATATGTAGGCAGTTTACTTCGACGTCATAACTTTCATATTGCTCTATGGCCCCCAGAAGGTACCCCATGACCCCCAGGTTGGGAAATCCTTCTGTAACATAACAGTCGGATTAGGTCGCGCAAATTTGTTTTTTGCTGGTCAGTAAATTGTAAACAAATATCGTCAGATTGAGTAACTATACTTCCCTTTTTGTCTATAAGCTAAATACGTAATCGTTTTTCATTAAGGTTTTACATGACTAGTTCTCCATACTGGAAACTTCCAGACAGATCTTTCAGCTTTCTACACAAGAGACATCTTAATTCAGTGTGCACAAATTTTGATTAAGTGCGCCCTTACATATATATTTTTTTTCTTCGTTGCAAATGATGTCATGTGACTACTAAAAATGACATTAGAGTACCTATCTCCTTGAACTGTAGCGTAACCAAATCATGATATGTGTACAACCATCTTCCGTAACGCCATGCACAGTGCAGGCATTGGTACCGTAGCAAAGTGTACCGGAAACAATTGTGTTATAAACAATATATACCAACTGTAATTTGGTGTATGTAACCATATAGTTTAACGCCTGTGGGTTACGGGTCCCGAGGTATCGTGTTCACATAGTTGTGCAAAGTCATACTTATATGGATAAACACATTTTTGTTTTTGGATTTGTTTTTTTACTTGCTAACTACGACTCGTGATGAGCTGAACAAAAAGAGACAGAGACAGGACAGAAAAACTGAAACGGAAACAGACAGAGAGACAAAGGCAGAAGTAGAGATGGAGAGATAAAGAGACAGACAGCAGAGATGGAGAGACAGACAACTGAGATGTAGACAGACAAAATAGACAGATATAAACGCAGTTACAGAGACAGGCGCAGGGACAGAGGGATATAGAGAAACAATCTGATATACAGAGATATGCATAGAGTGAGTATCTGTAGTGAGAAGAAACAGAAATACTAACCCCTACACACGAAGCTATTTTCATCAGGTTGTGCGGTGCCTATCTCCTTACGGAAAGGTGTTTCAGGTCACATTTTGACAGTGGCATGTAATTAGTATTCGCCATGCTGACCCCGAGCCCCACACACGCCATGAATCATATCGATGGCTGTCATTCTACGTTCGCGTGAAGTTAGTCCCTTGTATGTCTATAGCATTAGTTTGATTATTTTGATAGGATGTAATGGTCAGCAAGGCTAAGTATTGGTTCATGTTTATACGTAGTTACAGTCCAAAACTTGTATTTTTTCTTAGTACAGAAGGAATCATCCAAATGGTTCTAACTTCTTACGTAAAATTTATGTTGGTATACGTATCAAGTAAAACTAGGCTTCATTATCAGTGTGATTTATCTGAAGATTAACTTAACTGATCCCCGGATTTGTAAGACAAAGAGGTAACCTGACATAGTAACTAATATTTACATCATACTCATTTACATTTTAACGTCTTCAGCCTTGCGTAACAGTATGTAAACTTAGCAACTGTGTTGTTTTGCTCACGCTTGCCTGCGTGGCTCCAGTGGGTCATGGACAATCCTTTTACTTTGGTTTTGGCTTTTAATTCTCCCGCGTCGTGTCCCCAGCTCCCAGGTGAAAGTACATTACCTCTTCTCTTCGCTCGTCATATGTCACTGATAAGAGAACCGTCTGAGTCTCCGAGAGTGGGAGCCATCGTCTCCTGCGTCATCTCGAGGTGAGCGTCTCATTGGTCGCCATGGAAGAACACACCTCCGCAGGTGCGTGAACTGCCATCCATGGTTTCTCTGCGATGCGATTGGTCGGCTTATCTGTGACGTCACCTCCCCGTTCGCCACTAGCGGATCCCTTTTGTTGAAGCGGGAGACGGATTTCCCGTGAGAGGTGGTGGATCATTGTGTCGTGACAGCTGGTGGAGAGCGGTCGGACGCGCCGGGACGACTCAAGCGGAAAGGACAACGCACGCTTACGCACGCACATGCATTTGTCCTCGAAGTGTGAGATGTTTGGTCAGAAGTAGTGAACTGCTCGCAGATAGTGTTCGATAAGAAATGATTTATAAATACACGGATTTACCGTTCTGTTAAAACTGAACAAATAACAAAATTCGCAATAAATAGAAAGAAAATTTCTGCGGTTACAGTAAAGCAAAAACAAAAATAAAGTACCCAAAACAAGAAACAAACCAGTAGCCATGGCGAGCGTCATGAAAATGTTCCACAACTTCAAGAGCAGCCACCTCCCTCGGGGCAAGCGGTGCCAGACGATCTCGGCGCCCGCCCCAGCCTCCCCGAAGGACCAGGGGAGGGAGGACCCCGAGGGCGCCCCGTCCAGCGACCTGGTGAACCGCAGGAAGGTGTCCATCTCGAGGAGCGGAAGATACAGGGAGAACCACAAGAAGAGGAGCGCGCTGCCGGACGACACGCGTTGCAGTTCCGACGACGACCACGCGAGTCCGAAGGTCGCGACCCGGGCTGACACCACGACAAAGGTCTGTGTGTGTGCTGACCTTTGTACGTCCTGTTTTATGGGGGAAAGGGGGTTATTGTGCGGAGCTTTGGTTTCGGGGACAAACAGAGCTTGTCACTGAATATTTTATTCAACCTTGGTGTTCTGTTTCATGCTGTTTTTTTTCTCCAAATTCCTAACGATCATTTCATATGTCTAACCATTATTGATCGTTATTATTCATTTCAAATATCCAACATCAATATAATCTATCGTATACCGTTTCGCGTGTGAAGATCACGTTACGTTTTTCCTGGACTAAGACACGCTGTTATGTAAATTGGTGTGCTTCACTGGATGCACAAAAAATAGTGGGATGTACACCAATAAGCCATTCATTACCAAATCACCAAGGTATCTGGATCGTAGAAAATTCCGCTGCTGTTCATCACACTCACGTCTAAAAGTAATCAGTTTCTGTAGTCATGGCAGATATCGCATTATCGAAAATTATATAATGAATTACCTAAAAAAAAACATAATCTACCAAGATTAAAAACAATATCATCAACTTAGAGAAAATATATCGAAAAAAAGCTCGTATAACGTAGAATGTCAAGTTTCAGTTTTAAGTATTTGAAAAATATAACCGACCATGGAACCGTCATTGAATGCAGAAACAACGGTATAGTCAACCGTTTCATTATGCTATTGTTGTCCTTACAGTAATGAGCAAAAAGGGAAAGGGAAGGGAAGAGAGAGTGAATGGAGTGAAAAGATTGAGGAAGAGAAAAAAGGAAGAGAGGGAAGTGAAAAAGGAGCAGATGAAAATGGGAGCAAAAGGAAGAGAAAATTGAATTTAAAGAAGGGAAGGCGAGAATAGGTAAGATAAAGAGAATAGTGAATAAGGAAGAAAAGAAAGAATGGCAAAAAGGGGAAGAAGAGAATAACATAATGAGAAGAGAGAAGGTAGAAGGACGTAATAATGAAAGGGAAGGAATAATGAACACGGCAAGCAGAGATGAAAAAATAGAAGGAATGCGAAAAGGGGACAAAAAAAGGGGTACAGAAAAAGAAAACAAGAAGGGAGAAAGAAGCATGGTAAGAAGTGAGAAAAGAGAAAAGGTGGAAGAAGACGATAGAAAGAGAGAAATGAGATAGGGACATTAAGAACAGGAGAGAAGAAAAAAAAAACGATGATATAGGTGCAGGTGGAGAAAAAAGGAGAGAATAGATGAATGGGGGAGAGGGGGGAGTAAGAGACACCAATAAAGGGAAATGAGAAAAAGAAGGAGCAAAACAGAAAGGAAACTGAACAAAAGAGAACAAAAAACGAGAAAAGAAAAGAAAAAAAGGGAGGAGTAGGAATTACAAAGGACTGAAAACCAAGGGCTTGGGGAGAGAGAGGGGGGGGGGGGGAGGAAAAGGAAAGGAAGGGAGGAGGAGGGGGAGGGAGGGAGGGAATGTTGACCTCCATCGCGTGAGTAGCCAACAATGGCCAAGGTTTTTGATGTGCGGACGAGGTGGCGAATAAAACTTGATTTCTAGATAATCACTTTATAACGCTTGCTGACACGGGTGACGATATTGATGTGATAATAAGCAGGGTGATGGTGATTATTGTTGTTGTATTATCGTTATTACTGTTATTATTATGGTCATTATTATTATCAGTATCATTATCATCACATCAGCAATTTCATAATCATCATCGTCATCGTCGTCATCTTCATCTTCATCGTCATTGTCATGTTTATCATCATCATCAACGTCGCCATCATCACTATCATCATCTTACTCATAATAGTTCTTGTTATTATTATCATTATTACTATGATGATGATATCAATCATAATGATAATTAATAACAATAGTATAGTAATAGTAACAACTTTAATAATAATGATGATAACAAAAATAACGACAATAATGATAATAATAATATTAACAATAATAATAATAATAATAATACAATTAATGGCAACAATAATAATAATCGGTATCATTATAAACTTGATAATAGTACTGATAATAAAGACGAAATGAATGATAATGAGTATATCATCAGTCCATGTTTTTTTCATATAAATCTTTCTTTGAATGCAGTGTTTCACTTTTAATTCGTTTCTATGATAATTAAAATCATAATTAGTTGGAGCATTATGACCACGATTCATAACATCAACAATAATTATCAATATAGTAATTCTAATGAGAGTATTGGTATGTTATGATGCGGATGTCACTTTAGAAAAAAAAATAATTGTATGACTCCATTAACAATAATTAGATAATGAAAACAGACTACTAATTAATGTTAATAATAGGGATGAAATGACAGTATGGATGAAATATTAATCATCACAATAAAACATCCAGATGTATATTTTAGTCCGTTAATCGTGCTGTTCATGTTCATGCGTCCCAAATGATGATAATTTACGTATCAATATTCACGATGGCAGGGATATATTTGCACCATTAATAGAAAAAAAAACAATCATATAAGGTCAAACGGGATGAGTGACACACCCAGAAAAGAGTTCAGTTATATTCTGGTTCATTGTCTTTTCCGGAAATCCGATGCCTTTTATGTTGCGCATCCTGTTTTTCTTCTTTTTTTCGCTTTCCTGTGGAATTAGGGTCAGATATATGACTTTTTTTTGTATGTATATCTTAAATATTCCAGATAAAACTAAACTCTGTTGAGAAGGAGGATGAAGTTTTTCTTTGTCAATTTTTTTTTCTTTCTTTCATTTTGGGTCATCGCGGATGCAGCTGTTTGCGTATCGTATAACATGATTTTGCTGTAACATCCTGTGTGGTCATTCTGAGGCGTACTAAGAATGCAAAAAGGAATTTGCTGATCAGTTTTTGTTATGCGATTATGTGGATGTCTACCTGGCCTGTTTTCCATGGAATTGCAGTGACCAGCATGACGAGAGAGGGTTCCTGTGACGTCATAGTTACATCATGTGTGGCGCCGCGCTGTTCTGCCAGACGCTGTTGTGAAGACTATTGGTTATACATTGGGTTTCTGAGCAATTTGATTAGAATGGCGGTCATGCTGGTAGACCATTACTCTCATTATTAACTGTTTCTTTCTTTCTTTCTTTCTGTTTTAGCGTTCGTCTTCCTCTCTGTATTTTATTCCCGATTGTCTCTTTTTCTTTCATTTTTATTATTCTTAATTTCCCTTCTTCTTCCTCTTCAGCAATAGCTATTTTTTCATATGGTTTTACCTACCATGTCATTTCTTGATTTTCTTCTCTCTTCATTTATCCATCTTTTCTTTCCTATCATTTCGTTAACCTCCATGCTATGTCCCCCTTCTGGTCTAACCCTTCATTTTTATTCACTTTTCTTTTCATACTTTTTCTCCTTTTTAGTGATTTCCTCTTTGCTATTCTTGTTATGTGATCTTTGTTGTGGCATGTCTTTTTATCTCTCCACTTCCTGTTTTCGTTCTGGTCTTTATCTCATATTTTTCATATTCTTTTTCATCGCGGTTATTTACCCTTCTTCTGCCTCTCTTTCTCCCTCATTTCCTGTCCCTTTACCCCCCCCCCCCCCTCTCTCTCTCTCTCTCTCTCTCTCTCTCTCTCTCTCTCTCTCTCTCTCTCTCTCTCTCTCTCTCTCTCTCTCTCTCTCTCTCTCTCTCCCTCCCTCCCTCCCTTCCTCCCTCCCTTCCTCCCTCTCTCTCTCTCCCTTTTCCCCCTTTCCTCCCCCTCCCCGTCTCCCTCTTCTTCTCCCTCTTCCTCTCCCTCCCCCTCTCCCTCTCCCTCCCCCTCCCCCTCCCCCCTCTCGCTCCCTCCCTCCTTCTCCCTCAGTCTTTTATCCATTCATGTTCCTCGAAAGTTTTGCCAATATAAAGATGAAAGTTTCGTCAATATCAAGGTCCGAGAGAATGCTATTGACACAACACTCAAGACAACGGACGTATAATTAAAATTGTTTCGAAATCTGATTAACAAAAAACGCCCTTTTTTGTGCTTCGTTGGCAAATTTTTGTTTTGCATTTGAATGTGTTTTGTTACGGTTACTAAATCCTGTGTTACGCCTCGTGAGAATGTGTACGTACACTTCGCATTAAAGAAATGAGAATGATTAACGTCTTCTGTTATTAATGATAATTTCGTATCGTTGCTGTTATTATCTTTATTTTCTCTTTTGTTATTTAATTATCTCCCCTCTTTCGTTTACAGGATCAGAAGAACAAAGAGAATGAGAAGAGCAGAGCGAATGAGAAGAACAAGCAGAACCTCGTCCGCCGGGAAAGCGCCATCAGCGTGACCGACGGACACGCGGTCGCTGACGAGATCGAGTCCCTGGCCAAGAAGATGACCATAGAAAACGTACTTCAGACATCTTTATAGCTGTAACTGTGATATAATTTAGTAGGACTTGTATTAAAATGTGATATTTAGAAGATACCTGTATTATAACATGTTCCCCCGTGACCCTATATCGCTTCAGTATTTGATTTCTGTTGTAGATATATTCCGTTTTGTGTCATTTTTTTTCTGGTTCTATATAAAGTGAACCGAAATGGCTTTACATGCGATGCAAGTAGTCTTATAGCAAAGCTTATGGAATCTGGTTTAGAACAAAATTACAGCTTTGCAAAAGGGATTTTTTTTAATCGCGTGAAATGCTTTTATGTCAGTATCAACATAACAAGGCAACGTACTTTCAGAGAAAAATATCCTCTCTCCACATGAGTCATTAGTTTCCAAAGGTATAGCTGTTAAATATAACACAGATAAGCACGAGAGTCAGTGATATCAATCGTTACGTATCTTGATGAAGTGTACACTTTAATCTTCGTAACGAAACATGATTAGCGAGTGTCAACGATGAGATAAAAGTTGAAGTAGAAGGATTATATTGGCACCTTAATCCACACTTTTTTCTTTTTTCTTTTTATTAATCACACTTGACTCACCGTGTATTTTCATTTTCTTTTTTATCAGCGGAGTTTTTCATTTTTTTGTGTTATCATTAACATTGCCGTTTATCACGCCTTCTTTCATTTCATACTTATCATTTCTTTGGTTTTAGATATTCATGCTCTTTAATCATCGAAAAAAACAATTCATATTTAACAGCTGAATGAAAATGGAATAAACTTTTATATCTGAAGCGCGTCTATAACGAATGATCTAGTTGTAAGTAATTTTAAAGTTTTTTTTTTTCTCAAAATATTTCCTCTTCGCTTATTGCTCCTAAATATTATGTGAAATATATTTACGAGAATACATTCATTTATTGCTGAGCATTCAAAAAATATTGATACAGAGATAAATAAAATGAACATTTGATGTTCACACGGAACGAGAATTTCAATGGAGGAAATTGGCTAGAAGGAAATATTTTCCCATGTAAATATTACATATAAATGAAGTTATATAAAGTATATGTATCATCCACTGTTTCTGCTATTGTGATTCACACCAATATATCACGTGACCATTGTATTAAAGACGCAACACCTTAGTGCAGGTTAATGCCCCAGAAAGGTTAAACAGAATCTTAATTTCAAAAAAGATTTATTTATTCTCGAAATGAATTCAAAAATAACATAAATACACAGAATAAATACAGACTTCGTTTCTACGGTTTGGCCAACGCCTATGGAAGCTTATAGGTTTATATATAAGCATTAATTTAGGCGGTTTGTTTATCCTTTATTGATATATTGTCTATATACAAGACATTTATATTTGTACCGTTTGTACCTCTCAGAATAGGAAATAAAACTGTACTACGAGATTTTTTCGTTTTTTTTTTCATTCAACATTAAATAAAAAACTGGAAATTCATAAGATGTTAAATAGTGTCGATGGAATTTTGATAAAGAAGGAAAAATATAATGATGACGATAGTAATGGAGAAGACAGTAATAATACCAGTGATAAAAATAACAGAAATTATTATAAATAAGGATCATAAGAAAATGACTCCAATGGTGAAAATAACGTAGTTCCTTACTTTTGAAATAAAGTTAATGAAACAGTCATACTAATGAGGATGATAATGAAGAGATTATATCAACAACATTAACAGAAATAAGCTATGGTACAATTTCTTATCATTTATCATGTGTTTAATCTCTCAAATTTTCCAGAGATAACAGATGAATGTACTGCACCTCCCCCCCTCATCGTGCAATCTCTGGCTCACTTAGCCGCCCACCAACCCACCTTTTCTGGCCCACCAAACCACCTGCCTTCGTCCACTTGTCTACTTGCCAGCTAACCTGTTTATGTTCATTCACCAGCCCACCAACCCACTAACCCACCAGCCCACTAACACACAAGACCACCAACCCACTAACGCACCAGCCCACTAACACACCAGCTCGCCAACCCACCGGCCAACCAACCCACCAGCCAACTAACCAACCGGCCCACAAACCCACCAACCCACCAACTCACCAGCCCACTAACCCACCAGCCCACTTACCCACCAGCCCACTTACCCACCAGCCCACTTACCCACCAGCCCACCAACTCCCCAGCCCACTAACTCACCAACTCACCAGCCCACTAGCCCTCCAACCTACCAGCCCACTAACCCACCGGCACACCAACCTACCAGCCCACCGACCCACTAACCCATCAGCCCACTAACCCATCAGCCCCACCCCCCCACCCCCCCACCCCCCCACCCCCCCACCCCCCCACCCCCCCACCCCCCCACCCCCCCACCCCCCCACCCCCCCACCCCCCCACCCCCCCACCCCCCCACCCCCCCACCCCCCCACCCCCCCACCCCCCCACCCCCCCACCCCCCCACCCCCCCACCCCCCCACCCCCCCACCCCCCCACCCCCCCACCCCCCCACCCCCCCACCCCCCCACCCCCCCACCCCCCCACCCCCCCACCCCCCCACCCCCCCACCCCCCCACCCCCCCACCCCCCCACCCCCCCACCCCCCCACCCCCCCACCCCCCCACCCCCCCACCCCCCCACCCCCCCACCCCCCCACCCCCCCACCCCCCCACCCCCCCACCCCCCCACCCCCCCACCCCCCCACCCCCCCACCCCCCCACCCCCCCACCCCCCCACCCCCCCACCCCCCCACCCCCCCACCCCCCCACCCCCCCACCCCCCCACCCCCCCACCCCCCCACCCCCCCACCCTACCAGCCCACTAACCCACCAGCCCGCCAACCCACCAGCCCGCCAACCCACCAGCCCGCCAACCCACCAGCCCGCCAACCCACCAACCCCCCACCCCCCAGCCCACCAACTCACCAGCCCACCAACCCACCAGTCGTCGCCGCTCGTCACGGGATCGTCCCCAACGCACTCATTGTGACAGCCAGGTGTAATTTCGGACTCTTCACACTGTCCTGCCCTTGACAAAAAAAAAGAAAAAAAAATCGTGCATTCATTCGCTTGACAAAAAAAAAAAGAAAAAAAAGAATGAGAAGTGTGAAGTTGAAAGGCAATACAATGAATAAATAAAACGTGGAAAAATAATATACATAAACAAAAGATGATAAATGAAAATAAATGAATGAATGGAAATAATAAAAGAGTTAAAAAAGAAAAGAAAAAAAGTAGTTGATGAAATCATAAAAAATAAAAAAGAATAATAGTATCAAAAGAAATTAACGAAAATGTGAAAAAAGAAGGGAAGAAATATATAATTAAGAATGGATATGAAAATTTTGAAATGGGAATAAATTGAAAAAAGGTGAATGACAAAAGAATGAATAATGAATAATAATAATGAGTACTGAATGATAAGTATAAAACAAAAATGAATAAAAAATACAGAGGGAGTAATGAAAATCATAAAAAAATTAGAGAAATATGAAAAGGAATGAATGCAAAAAAAAAAATAATAATAATAATAATGACTGAACAATAAGGAATACCTGAATATAAATGACATAAAATAATTAATAAAAATATATATATATTAACAAGAATGGGTGTACATTATAGAAAAAAGAAATGAATGAACAATGTAAAGATAATAATAATGATAATGAATATTTCTTATGATATTTACTTATCCTTTGCTGAATCATGCAAAATAATATGAATCTCAAAACCATTACAAGAACAAAAATGAAAATCATCCTCAACCTTCATTCATTTGTCAAAAATAATTAATAAATGATATGACAAAAAAAAAAACAAAGAAACACGGGCAAGGAAAAAACGATAATAACAACAACAATATCACCTCAAATGTCAAGCACAGAGGAGAATGGACACAAGCGTCTCTGTTGCCATGACAACGGATGAAGTACCCGCCTCGACCACTCCGCACTGCCTGGTTCAGTGTTTGTATGATATAAAAAAAGGATATTACATGAAATGATTGTAATAAAAAAGGAAACAAGTGAAAATGTTAAAAGGAATGAACGAAAATGTGAAAAGGAATGAATAAAAATGTGAAAAGGAATGAAAGAAAATGTAGAAACAGGGATGGGGAAATAAACAAAAAAATACTGAAAAAATGGCGAAGTTTTATAATATAGAATAAGGCAGTTTGTATGTTGATGATGGTAATATGGTATGAAACTAGTCATAGATCATATTGATAATAATGATATTATGGAATTTGTGTGTGTGTCTGTTTGTTTTTACGTGTGCGCATGTGTGTGTGTGTGTTTCCCTATGACCCTTGCATTAAGATATGATACTAGTGACGAAAGTGTAAAAGCAGAGAGTGGACAGAAATACTATTTAAGTACCAGAACACGAAAGCCAAGCGTGACAGACTCAAGTTACATCTTCTAGTGGGGACGGCGGTCTCTCTCTCTCTCTCTCAGTCTCAGTCTCTCTCTCTCTCTCTCTCTCTCTCTCTCTCTCTCTCTCTCTCTCTCTCTCTCTCTCTCTCTCTCTCTCTCTCTCTCTTATCACCATCATTATCATCAGACAGTCCACTAAGAGTGGAATGCTCACTACAAGCACTGGTATGAGACTGAGTAATCACATATTGGCAATACTGACAGCACTTAGACAGGTTAAGGTAATTAAAAAAGACTTACTTCTTTGTGAATAGTAGAGGGGCATTGGACTCACTTAACACCAAGAACCCTGTGTTTGCCCATATAGTTGACGGGTGTCATTTAATAGTTCGTAGGTTGCGGGGTCTGGGGCGCGCGACTACATTTGTCTGGATCCCTTCGCATGTACGCATATACCTTTAACGAAGCTGTTGAAGAGGTTGCGAAAGGGGCGACCAAAAAGCATGAGGTGGACATCAATTGTATGCTGACTCTTAAACAGACAAGGATCAATATCACGAGGATACAGTTAGACTATGACCAGGTCAGAATGGGCGAGGCATTGAGACACTACATGCATCTAGCGATGAACATAAACTTTACTTATGGAAGGGGAAAGAGTAAATGGAAAGCCAGTGTGTACATGGGGACAAAGCTTGGGTATAATAGGCTTACTTGAACAGGCTGTATGAATGATTAGGAATGGTCAGGTGTTTGAGGTTTTGAAGAGGTACAGGCATTTTGCGCCAATAGTATAATCCTAATAAACACAGGAACTTAGGCTGTTATTCCTACTGTCTTGAGCAGGTTTTTACTAGGTTGAGGATGACCATCGCAAGTAATGCATAACTCTCCTGAGACACAAACATCTTACTCAACAAACTGTTCACCTTTTCTCCGGGGTCATAATTATATATTGCGTGCATATCATATTTTATGTCTCTCTTTCTCTGTCTCCTTTCCCTTTCTCTCTCTCTCACCCAGAGCATAAGATGCATTTCACATCTATTTTTGAACTGATACGCACTGAAAAAATAATTAACTTGTATCCTTTTACCGTTTAGGAGGGATTTTTTAGGTTTCGGTTGTAAATGGTAATATTCTGCAGTTGAACAGAAGCCAAGGAATGAAGCGGAGAAAGACACACACACACACACTCACACACACACACACACACACACACACACACACACACACACACACACACACAGAGGGGGGGGGGCATGGGCAGGGGGGACACAGGGAGTGGGAGAAACGGAGAGAGCGAGAGGGAAAAAGAGACTGATAGAGAAAGACGAAAAAGAAAGGGAGAACTAAAAAAAACAAAAAAACTGATGAGGAATCTAGTCAGACTCGAAACATCAAAATAAATTAATTCTTTTCCTCTATGTCTGTATCCTTATTCGTCTATATTATCACTTTGTTCAATCTACGTCATTCTAATTTCTGTTGTATATCCATGTAAATATAACACTAACACGTGAAAAAAAACATGAAACGCGTCATCTATCCAAAACAAAAATCGAACTGACAGACGAGGCTTCAACGCAAATCAAAACACCTCGACACTTGAAGATTGATGGCCTCATGACGTCACGGGCAATACGCCGCCTCGACCTCCTGCAAAATGTTCTTTTCTCACTTAGGAGGCTGCTTTAGCTCGGGCTCCTGGGGCTTCCCTGCTAATAAGGGCGGGAGGCGTCGGGATTACCAGTATCATGATTGTGAAAATAAAGGGAAGCGAAGGAAAGCGAACATAACCACGTGGTTTATGAGAATGATTGGCGGTATGAGTATACACCGTTCCACACACGTACACATACACACGCATATATATATATATATATATATATATATATATATATATATATATATATATATATATATATATATGTATATATACATATACATGTATGTGTGTGTGTGTGTATGCATATATGTGTATATATATGTGTATATATGTGTGTGTGTGTGTCTGTTTGTGTGTGTGTGTGTTTTTTGTTTTTTGTTTTTTGTGTGCG